AAAAAAATAAACCTTGATCAAAAGGAAAAAAAAAAGAGTACAACGCACCAACATAATTGATGATAAATAAGTGTGTAAGTACTCCCTCTGAGTGCAACACATCACTAAAAATCTAACATTTATTTGATATATACTTTTATCAAGGTATTCCGTACATAACATCATGGTTTCTTTCATGATAAATATATACTCATTAAAAAAATATCAATGAGGTAAGGGGATACCCATCATCAATAAAACTCAAATCACGTTGCTTTGTGTTAGAGTAATACTTTTGATCATTAGAAATATTGTTATCATCAATCATTTAATTCAATTTATAAGGGATGAATAAAGATTACATCAATGGTTTCGTATAGATATCAAAGTATATTCTTGATACCATTCCAATGACGATATACGATGTGTTGGTCCTGAGCTATTTTTAGCTAACACGTTTTGAGAATATAATATTTGGTCAAATGTGATTGTCAAAGTACAATCATGCGCATATTGCACTTTCATAGGGAATTCCTTCTCCCAATAACTTTTCAATAATAGATATCTTTTCTAGCATCCATATTTCGACCGATCATGGGAGTGCTAACAGTTTACATTTATCTATGTTAATTTTTCCTGAGAACTCTTTTGGATATATGCAACTGGTGAATTAATATTCAACCAACTCAGTGTTTAATTTCAAAACAGACCCGAGTTTCCCAAGATCCTTTATCTCAATTACGACTTTCAAGAATCTAACATGTCTCATGTTCCTTTATGAGTACATATTATGTCTATATCATGGAGATACAGTGATATTTGGAAGCAAAACTTATTTGCATTATAAATGTGCAAGGCATAATATATTCATTTTGCATCCCTTTTCAATCAAGTGATTACTTGATTTAATCCAAATGTGAACATATATATAATGTAATTAAAAACCATTTGATTAGAAATAAAAACATAACTGCTTCATTAAAACATATTAACTGCTCTTAAATAAGATTGAGACATTTATTTGGTGACCCCAATCTTTAGCTGCGTCCCCATTACTTCGGAGGCTACTTAGAGATTAAGTAGTTGAACATTTTTGTGTTCAAAATAGAGAAGTGTAACTTTTCATATTTGAATTCAAGGCGTAGTGGGAATAATTAGGACCTCATTATCTCAATACGCTTTCTAACAAAGAATTATTTTATGTCCTACAGGCTTTACACTTGGTTGATTAGCACTATCACACCAAATACCCGTCTCTTTGTCAAATATTAAATTTATACCTGGATTACTTACACGCATTTAGGCCAATGTTCTCATTGCTTTCATATTGCATGCAATAGAGTATGGTTCGATATCATCGTGCTCTATATTCCTTTGAGCAACCGTAAAAATATATCGTCAGTATAAGTGTATGGTCGACCCATACACACTCTCATTAACATTGAGATTTTAAATCTCTGAAATCATTTGAACTTGGGGGCGTCCCCCATTATTGATTCATGGACATGTTTAGTCAGAGATAATCTCATGAGAGGAATTCATATGACGAATATATTGGTTTGTGCCTTATTTACCCTCTACTACTTAGTGTGGATAATTAATCGAACCATGTGGCTCCCCTCTATTCCTTCATAGAGCCACAGCCTCAGCCACAACCCCACTGTTTGTGATTTCAATACTTCTTCTTTTAGCATTGTGTCTTTAATTTAAATACAAGCCTTTATAAATATGTTTGCAGCTAGTGCGTATAATCTGATTGCTTAAATCATTTAATTTGACTTTGATTTTACATTTTGAAGTCTAAGATTTATCATTGAGACAAAGTAGTGATGTACCATCATAATAATTCTGTCATTTGATTAGAGATTTTTTTTTCTCTAATCTCCCCTTAATGACATGAAAATCAATTGTCTCATCAAAGTGATATTCCGCAAAGCGGTGTACACATTATTTGTTAAGGCTTGTAGCAGATTACTATTGGAGATTCATATCCAACATAAACATCATTTGTCTTTTAAAACCGATTATAGTGCACTATGGGAGGCGCATTAGGCACAATTAGTTAACAAGCATATATGTATAAGTAGACATCTCAGGCTAAGATCCAGTCACCAACTGGTATATACAAAAATGGTTGTCTACTATCGGTCTAAAAAAACAAATGTGTAAGGGTGCTTGCAATATTGCATAATCCCATGAAAATAATTATATATACGTGTGCGCATAGTAGATATAATATTCATCATCTATATTCTTTTAGATGTGAGTTTTAGTGACTTTATTTTTACATGGGATGCGAGATGATTTTCATTGATGTCGACAAATATGCAATACTCATCAAGTACGTTTGATGAGAACTGTCTAGCAATAACAAGTCATATATATAGACTTGATTGGTCAGGTAGTGAGCCCTTAAATGAATAAATTTTTGCTAGAAGTTTTGCAAATGCAACATTTTATGTAACAAGAAAATAGATAGCATGAGGAGATTTCTACCAAACCATAATTACTTAAATGGCCCGCATTTTGGAAGATAAGTTCTCACGTGTCACATTATATTGAGAAATGAGATATCTTCATTTTTATATCCTTAGCATAGACAAGTCTTGATTCTATTATTGCTAGGGAGTAAACTTTTAGAAATAAATGACATACCTTATAAATATTTGTAAGACATAATGGAGAGTATATATATCTTCTCGTACTTGAGAAGATGTATATGAAAGATGTATAAATTTGAACCATTTTTTTCCTTTTCGGAACATCTAAACTATGACCCGATGATTCCATCAAGCCACAACCACAAATATGTCATTACGAACATAGGCAATATGAACTTTCTCTTGAAAGAGGATTTCTCATATGTTTGATGCTATATGCTTAGTACAAAGTATTTCTTTTTAGTTTTTTTTTAATAGTAGCCTTGCTAATATTTTAAAAAAACTATATCTCTCATCATGAAATTTAGAATGAATGCTATTTATATTAATTTAACTATCTCATTAATTTATCTCAAGTATTAATTTGAGAAATTTGTGCATCTTAATTAAATGGATCATTGTGTGCTTGTTTTGGATTGCCTGTGCATTCGGTTAAGAGATAACCGGATGTGGCGGTAAAACCCATTTCCCTATAAAGACTTCCGCTGTGATTTTCAAATGACTGTATCAATCAATAAAAGTTTTATTGCAAATATATCATTATTTTTGGTGGGAAATTTGGGGGTGTTAACAAATTAGTATCAGAGAGTAAGGTTGTTTTCTGGGAGATTTTTTTAAAGTGGTTTTCCAAAAAGTTTTCTAAATAAAATTTCAAAAAAAATAATAATAGGAAAATAAAAGATTAGGAAAAAGAGTATTATGAACGCAGGTGAGGATTGTGAGACTTTAATGTTATTGATTTGTAAGATTGAATTGTTAAATTCATGAAGTTACTTGCTTATATGAAGTATAATATGTGGAGTTACATAGCTTGCTTGAATGTTTATATGAGATAGAACTTGAGTATAACCTTAGTGAAGGACTTATACGTTTAAATGTAGAGACCTTATGAATGCCATAGTACGTACTTCAAGAGCTGTGAGATTACATGTTAAGTGGTCAAAATGGTGAAAGTGTTATGGTCAAATTGTTCGACCGAAGATGCTACTTAAGAGACCAAGGATGATAGGCAATCTGGAGTAATTTCACTTAGATAGTATTTTAGTTACGAGGACGTAATCTCTCTTTAAGTGGGGTGGAATGTAACACTTGGTAATTTTAGATCGTTAAATTTGGATTATTAGAGATGATGCTTCGGGGACGAAGCATTCTCTTAAGGAGGACAGATTGTGACACCTTGAAAAAAAAAGAATTAATTAAAATAAATAATTTAGCTTATGCTTCGGGGACGAAACATTCTTTTAAGGAGGGTAGAATGTGACACTCCAAAAATTTAAATAAAATAAAGTAGATAATTTTGTTAAATAAAATGTAAAATTTTGACACCTTAACTATGTTAACTAGGTGAATCTTTGACCGTCCTAGCAAAAGAGACATTTTGATTTAAATAACAAAAGGGGTGTTTTTCATTTGAAGGATGAGGGTTATATTGGTCAGATAAATTTTGTTACACAAACAATTGAATAAAAATGTACCTACCCGAATAATAATACGCCTACACGTTGAGCACACTTAAACCCTGTATTTTTGTACATACAAGTAATGTGAAAAATAATAAAGTGAAAGTTGAATTTTTCAATAATAAGTGTACAAAGTTAATAGTCGTACCCGCCCTGCGTAGTCTAAACATGGAAAGTGTTCAACGCTACTACAGCTGAAGGCATGCGGAAATATACGAAAAAATACGTTACGGAGTAATAATGAAGACATTAACTACCAATTTATTATGCCTAATATACTACGTACGACTCCAGCGCCCCTTGATTTCTTTCCATATGAATGTTACGCGTTGCGCCGGAAAGCTCAATAACTTAGAAGATCCCGTAACGTGCGGGCTAGAAACTTCTCAGCTGGGTATATATACCCCATCGACCTGCGTTTACTCTCATTCAAAAATCAGCAGCGACATATACGAAGTACATATATATACGCATATATACAGAGAAATTACACTCTTCTTTATACTCCAAAACCAGAGATAAAAACCATCATTAAAGCCTTCTCCTGGTTGAGAGGAATCAAACGGAGAAAGAATCATTGAAAATGAACGTCGGAGGACGTAGAAAGCATTCGCCGGAGTTAGCGCCGGACTGGTCTTCACGCCGGAGAACGAAGAAGAAGAAGCTGGGCTGTTGCCGCCAGACCACCTCGCTGCTACTGGAGTCGATGCCGGATTTCCCCGCTCTGGTTTGTGCGATCTCACGCTCAGGACGCCAGAGGAAATAGTGGCGGAACCAGGACTCGTGACTTGCAGGGGCTCATTAACAAAGAAATCATATATCTCACGAATATAGCAATAAACAAAACAAAAATTTAAATAAAACAAGTAATGAAATAGTACCTTAATTTTTATTTGCAACTGAAGCGTCAAATGAAGGAGAGTAATTGGGAGGTGGCAATCTATGTCTTCGAGGCGCCATACTCTGAAATCGCCTCATAATGTCTTCATTCTCAACTTTAACAAAAATATCTTTCTCAATGTAACACACCAAACTATCTGTCAAGAATTCTTCTCCAATCTTGTTGCGCAAATCATTCTTGATGAACTTCATTGTGGAGAAAGATCTTTCAACTGTGGCTGTTGTAACATGTAAGATCAGTGCCAACTGAATGAGTCGGTACACTAACCTATAAGTTGTGTGCCATTCTGTTTCAACCATTCTTTTTGCCAAATCTCCAATAGTTTGAAGACTTGAGAACTGTGGAGATGATTTGACAAATATAAGAAACACCTTAAGTTGTTCATTTAGTTCATGTTTTTCTCTTGAACTAAAATCATCTGGGTATAATTCAGCAAGACGAAGTAGCCGATTCAAATCAAAATGGGAGAATGAATCTTTAGGACTTAAGGACGATATGCACATCAGTAGCTCCAAACTTGACTCAGTAAAACGATTATTCATCTCTTGCAAAAGACGATCAATATCCTAACATTATATTTAAAAAAATAATGAAATAGTGTAGCAAAACAAATAAATTGAAATACGCTTAAATAAGGAATAGAAGTCCAAAAATTACCTCGAGAAATATGTCAACATGAAAATAATGGCAATAAGTTTTCGGGCTACCATCAACGGTCTTTTGCCTTTTCACTTTGCCTGGCTTTACATCATTCATATTAGGCACATCAATAGCATGACTTGAACAAAATCCAGACACTTCTTCATTAACAAACCCCACCCATAATCATTCCGATAACTTTCCAAATCGGCCTTGACTGCCTTGACAAGATCCACAACATTTCCTATATTTGGATTTTTCTGTTGCAATTCCTTTGATAGTGATCGGGCTGAACTTGCAAGTATACAAGTGCCGATGTAGTAATAAAATACCGGTAAATACCGGGTCGATCCACAGGGAAATCGTTGATATTATAAAGTCGAGTATTGAATGCAAAGAATGTAAATGATATATTTTTTTCAGGAACTTTGCTTTTTGAGATTGGTTTAAACAAGAATGAGAATTACTAAGGCAATCGGGATTCACCTAAATGCTTTAATATTTGTTTAATAATAGTTCTTCCCCAATAATCATGAATACGATGTCGCTAATATATTCTCAACTCCGGTTAAGGCAGCGAGAGCGTGGTTTTCGTTACGTGTAAGTCCCGTTACGGCTTACATTCATCTACCGAAAACCCCGTTGAATATCAAGACATCACACCCGTATCATATAAGACCGAATATATTTCTATTCTCGGTACTATATATGTTTATCCTTTAATGTTCATAGTTTAGACTTCAACGTTAATTGCAAGCATAAACTAAATTTAACATACTTCTATGTTGTACACCATAGTCATAAACAATCAAAATATAAAGGATAAATCACAATTTATTGGTTTAGAACTTTTATCAAACACCTAGTGTGCATAGAGGTTCATCCCTAGCCTTAGCTAAGAAATTAGCCTCTAATGCTCATATTAATCACAATACAATATTGAAATGTAATGGAACATGAAATTACAAAGGAAATAATACCTAAACACCAATGGTTTCGGAGGTTGAAGTTTCCTCCTCAAGAACTTGAAGAACAATAGCAAAAACAAAGTATAAAGACTAAGAATTAATCTATGGAATGGAATGTCATTGCTTGATGAATTAAGGGCTTTATATAGGCTAAAGAATGGCATCTTTTAGTCTATTCAAGCCTAACAATCGGGCATGGAAGCAATATTTGATCAGATATGGAGGAAGATGGGTTTTTCCCATCAGAAATCTTCTGCACGTCGGACTGTTTTAGCAGAAAATCGGAACAACCGGCGCCGGTTATAGCATGTCCGGCGCCGGTCGGGTGCAAAAATGCACCGGTTGTGCTGCACCGGTTGGAAACAGGCCCGAATTGGGCAAAAAGTCCTGACGACCGGCGCCGGTTATAGGGCATCCGACGCCGGTCCCTGCACCCAATTTTGTACTTCGCTTCTTTTCTTCGTTTGATGCCCGAAATTGATCCCGAAGTGCCGGTTTTCGATCCCTTTTGACTTTTGACCCTATTTTCATTGCTCCATGTCGTATTTCATGTTTCCGCTAACTCGAGAATATTTATCTGTTTTTGCTTCATATATTTGTACAGATAAATGTAATTACTTATGTAAAACATAAGTAATTATTGTGCTTATCAAATTCCCCCACACTTGAGCGTTGCTAGTCCTCGAGCAATGTTGTCGCCTTTTGATGCCTTGGTTAGTTCAACAAAAATATATGCATAAAAATAAATTATTTTAAGAGAGGTAAAAAAAATGTTTGTAAACTCTTTTTTCGTTCTCGGTCCAAAACCCATTTTTCTATTAAACACAAAAAAATATCATTGGATTTAGAAAAATTACTTATACTCTTGAGAGGAGATGAATGGATTGTGACTAGGACTTTTTGGGGGTGTAGGATGGCTTTTTGATGTATTTGACTTTTCAGTATAGAAGTGGATCAGTTGAAATTCTTGAAAGAGATCATGAGTTTTTTTTTTTTTTAAAAAACTCATTTGAATTGGTTCTCAACAAGCATTTACTGAAAGTCATTTTGATCATCCCAATTTATTTGATGGGATATGAGGGTGGCTTGTTTTCCAAAACGGTTCTTGAATATTTGAGATGTACTTAACCCATTGTTGGAAATGAAAGAAGATGGTGTTCCTAATCACAAGAGTTCTTTTGGAAGTGGTTTTCAAGAGTAAAAGGTAGTGTAATAAATCTAAAAAAAAAATGATATTTTTATGTGAATAATAAAAAAAACTTTCTTAACCAAATACCCATTAAAAAGAGAAATAACATAATTTTTACCTTCCCTAAAAAAAAATATTTTGCACACAAAATTTGTTTAGCTACCCTTGAGATGCACCCCCCACACTTAAAATACATTGTCCCAATGTATAAATCATAGGAGCATAAAACTTCAATCACCATCCACAAAACATGTGTTTAGAGAAGAGTATGTCATATGAAATAACAAGAATGGGAGTTTAATTTTGTGGATCGGGAGGGGGGTGTCCAAATTGACCATAGTAGTGTTGGGTGAATTGCCCAAACCTTCGGTCAATGCGGTCCAAATGCTCTTCCACCCTGGTTTGACGGGTACGGAGGTCCTCTTGGTTAGCCTCGTACAAGTTCATCCTCGTATGCATACGGTCCATGGAGTCAACAATATAATCAATGCCCTGTGCCATGGTTCGCCGTGGCCGGGCTGCGGGTTGTGCGGTAGCTTCTCCCATCTCTTCGTCGCCGTTCTCTTCCTTGCGAACCCATGCATCACCCACCTTCTTGAACTGGAGGGACACCATAGTGCTTGGCCTCAAAATTTGGGCTGCGGCGGTGTACTCCACTTCTTCATTACTAAGATCGACGCCAAAACTCCTGAAAATCATCGTGAGTAAAAGAGGATAAATAAAGTTTTTATCACCTCTTTTAGTTTTGACGACGCCCCTCATTTCAGTCATGATGAGAGGGGCCAAAGGAATGCCCTCGATTTCTCCAAGTCCGTTCATCATTTTGTGCATGAGGTAGAGGTCCAACCGCCGAAGCACATGCGTGTCACTAGCTCTTGGCAAGATGTTGAAACTCAAAAGGTATGCAATTAGTCTCTCTCGGGGTTCAAGAACACGGGCCTTAAGCTCCTCATCGAATCCATAGTCGTTCATGACATCAATCTCGTTGTAGGCGGGGTCGGTGAGCACCACTACAGAGTTCATTTCAACCGGACGACCAACGTTGGGGATACGAAGCAAGTTGCACAATCTTTGTTTGCTAATGGTGATTTTTGTGCCTTTAACAATGCTCACAATATCCCCATACGGGTCCATTTTCCTCTCAATATTGGCATAGAAATCCCGTACAAGCGTCGGGTAGAATGCCCCAGTCGGAGTGAGCATGACGGCCCATCCCAATTTGTTAAAAGCGTCGGAGAGTTGATAGAGAGCTTCGATCTCCGGGTGCACGGTCTTTTCAATCACAATTTTCCACTTCTTCCTTTGATCGTACCAAGCCTCATTCTCCGGGGAGGTGAAACGTGGTACGGATGAAGAGGAAGAAGTAGCATCATTTCGTCGTTTAGGAGCCATGGAACTTGCACAATTAGTTCAACACATGCATGCAACACAATATTCTTCATCAATCCAAGGTAAGGTTTCAAAAAGTTCTTTAATTTCTTCAAATTTCATGTTCATTCAAGGATTTTTGCAACAATCATGTTTAGAGGATTCTATATCAACAACAAGTCGTATCAATATATCTCTAAACATCAATTATAAAAGGAATTCACTCAAGAACAAGAATTTCAACATTAGGGTTTTTGGGAAATTTTTTCAAGAATTTCCCCCAAATTTGAACTTTAATCTCACAAACTTGAACAAGAATCATGTTTATATATACCAAATGAGTTCAAAGAACAAACATTCAACACTTATAACATATATTTTGCCAAAATTTGTAAGAGAGAAAAGATTTGAAGAAATTTGGGTTTAGAGCCAAAATACCTTGAATTGATGCTCAAAGAGTGATGAAGAAGCCTCTAGAGGTGATGTTTGATGTAAAACCGAAACTTTTGGGGACAATTTGAGCTTGGGGCGGCGGATTTGGGTGGTTTGGGGTGGTGGCCGGACGTTTAGCTCTTAAGGTTTGGGGTAGTATTCGAAAAGTGAGTTCTTTTAAGCGGGTTGGGGCTGTTTTAATCGCAGAGACCGGCGCCGGTTATCAGGCGTCCGGCGCCGGATGTTCCAATTTGATGCGCCCCAGATTTTTTGTTTCGGACCGGGGCCGGTTGCTTCTGACCGGCGCCGGTCTTTCCATAATTTTTTTTTGTTTTGTTTTGTTTTCATCAATCATGAATAAATATGAATGTTGTTTATGTGAGTAAACATATTCACTTATAAGTGATTTTTAATCAAATATAAATAACAATGAATATAACTCAAGCATATATTTATTCATAATTGATTTTTTTTTTTTTTTTTGTGTTGGGTTGCCTCCCAATTAGCGCTCAGTTTAACGTCGTAGGCCGGACGCAACGTACCTCTATTCTTCCAATTGGCATGCGGTGGTTGTCGAAGTAATATGGTACTCCATGTATGGCTTGAGCCGGTGACCATTTACAAGGAATGGTGTTTGGTCACCGTTTTGAATCATCATTGATCCGTATGGTCGGACCTCGGTGATTGTATATGGTCCTGACCATCGGGATTTGAGCTTTCCAGGGAATAATCGGAGCCGTGAGTTGAAGAGTAATACCTTTTGTCCGACGTAGAACTCCCTCCGGTTAATGTTCTTGTCATGCCAAACTTTGGCCTTTTCTTTGTAGATACGGGAGTTCTCATATGCATCCCGTCGGAGCTCTTCTAGTTCATTAATTTGGAGCATTCTCTTTTCTCTCCCAAGGGTGGTATCAAGGTTCAGTTGAGAGATAGCCCAATGAGATTTATGCTCAAGTTCCACAGGGAGATGGCATGGTTTGCCATAAACAAGCCGGAAAGGGGACATACCGAGTGGAGTTTTGAAGGCCGTTCGGTATGCCCATAAGGCATCATCTAGCTTTAGAGACCAATCTTTCCTTGAAGAGTTGACCGTCTTCTCAAGAATGGATTTTATTTCACGGTTGGATACCTCCACTTGACCATTA